TGCTGAAAAGCTACTGGTTGTTTCATTGCAATTATTTCCACTTGCAATGGAATACACAAAGTGGATACACAAATAGGTCCCCATGGAGAAAAGCAGTTCCCCTTAGGATTCTTAACAGAGGCCTCTAAAGACTCTTCACTTAACTTGCCCATCAAGCAAAAGCATAGTCCGGGGATGGGGTGATGGTGTGGTATGGACTCCATCCTCCCCCAGAAGTAAGATTACATGGGGAAACTCAATTCTCACTACCTTCCTTCTGAAATCAGATTCAAGAGTCTATAAACCCTACTATCACTTAAAGCCCTAGGTCTCTTATATTATTAGATTATTCATAATGGTCTTTATCATTCAGAGTTTTTGCTTTTAGTCTTTCATTTTTCATATAATCATCTGTGATGCCCATAAGAAATATTAAGATTTTAAATGCTACCAATATTTACTTAAAAACTGAAACAAGGTCTGTTATTTTAAGAGAGCTTACAAGTTTAACCATTTGATCAGTCTTAGAGGATAGCTACATTTCTTTGTCCCGGGCTAATCATCAGCAAACCACCACAGACCCACAGAGTTCTTCCTGCCAGGCAGGAGAGAAAATGGCCTCCTTTACCAGCACTTTCCCTTCCCCAGCTCTCCTAAACAGTATGCGGTCACACCAGGCCATCCCAAAGCATTCACACTCCCGCTACAAGATTGCATTTCCCAGACTTTCCAAACCTTTGCTTCATTTCAAAAGGATCTACAGTTCAGGCAGGAAGCTAGAGAGAGCAACCTGGAGCCAAATACCTGTTCCACATCAAGCAGGCATCAGTGACCCTTTTAAATGACTGTTTCTTTGTCCAGAGGTCAGAAGGGAGCAGGGCCAGACCTACCCAAATCATCGATGGAAGCATCTCTTCAATCCCCAAAGATTCTTTCACTTGCTGGCCGCAGGAATGCTCCTTTATTAGCATTCCAAAATCACAGAGCCCAGTCTGCCAGAGGGGGCAAGCTTATCTCACTGCTACTTCCACCTTTGCCCAGCACCCTTGGCCAGCAGCCTGCCAGGTCCTCACATCTACCCTTTACTCACCCCCAGAACTGCGACCAGGTCACTGGCCTAGGAATAAGAATATATGACCTTGCACAGGTCATCTTTCCAATCATCACTTTCCCAACTAAGAGGGTCAGGGAGGGATGGGAAGGAGGGGCATAAAATCTATACTTCATGTGGTTGTGGAATCAAATCATTCATTCATTCAATTACATTTGCGGATGCATTTGGGCACAGGATTTGTGGAATGCTGCTAAGTAGCAAAGGCCTACACAAGCACGTGCACTTCTTGGTATCTAGATGCCTGATGGGCCCCCCAGCACCACATTAATCCCTCCCCCCACCCCTCAACAGCAGGGGATAAGCGTGTGGTCTGCCGCTTCACTAGAATCCGCAGCAGCCTCTTGAAAAGGCTCAGTTACAGCTGCTGGGAGACACCGGGCATCCAATTTAACAAGTCCGAGTTACTAAATGCTCAGACTAGAGAGAATTTCGCAAGGCGATATCCTGGAGAGCGCAATGGGCTGCGGGCCCACTTCCTGGCGCGGACCCTCACACCCTACTGGGTGACCTTGAGCAAGTCGATTCTCCACCCTGGACCCATTTCTCAATTGCAAAATAAACCGCAGGAGAGCTGACGCCCAAGGTCTCGGCCCTCTCCAGGAGGGCGCAGGGGCAAGCGAGGCGGCTCTGATCAAGCGGTGCCCGCCGGGGCCTTCGCACCCCCACCCACAGCCCGGCCCGCTCCGCACCTCGCAGCGCCTGCCCGCCGCGCTTCGCCTCCTCGTGCCCTGCCGGGCTCAGGTCGGCGTCATACCAGCCGCTGAAGCGGTTTTCCAGGTTCCATGCGCTCTCGCCGTGCCGGATCAGCACCAGTTTGTAGGCAGCCATGGCGGCGGCTAGGAGTGCGATGCAGACTGGAGCNCTTTCATGGTTATTTTGACTTTGGGGAAGAGCCAGAAGTCACAAGATGCCAGATCCCATGAATAAGGTGGATGAGGACACACCGTAATGTTTTCATTTGACAGAAATTGCCGTACCAGAAGTGATGTGTGACACGGAGGGTTGTCATGATGGAGGATGAAGTAAAGACACTCATGGAAGAGAACTTCCAGAACTGCTTCAGAAAGTGGCAAGAATGATGGGATAAGTGTGTTAGAAGTGAGGGGGAGTATTTTGAGGGGGGTCCAAGGCAATGTAATGTGTCTTTTACTGTAATACAATTTTTTATTTAAACAACCACCGTATCTTTTTGGTCACACCTCGTATCTCTCCCAACGTGGGATCCAGAAGCCCACAGTGAAACAGGACTTGTACATCTCAAATGTCCTGTGTACTCCATCCAGCCTGACAAAAATCAGCGCATTGGAGCGTCTAGCCCCTCAGGTGAAACAATTTAAGATGCAAATTGAGATTTCTGTGTGAAGTCATCCCAGGTTGTGATTAAGGAGGATTTTATCAGCAGTTTCAACTGGCAATCCTGGTCTGGAAGTGGGCATCTCAAACTAATGTGTATCAGAATCACATGGGTGAGGGATGCACCTTCTAGGTCAGGTCTGAAGTGGGACCTGAGAGCTTCTGCATATATGACAAGCACCCGGGAGTCTGGCTGCCTCTGCTTCTGCAGAAAACACTTTTGAGAAACAAAAGTAGAGGGTGTGTTTCTACTAGGAATCCATCTAGACTGCCTCTAAGGCTGTCAATAAGTAATGACGTCCCTGGTCAGTGGCTGTTCTTCTTTATCCCTCCTTGAGGGCCCCTCTGAAAAATGTACATACCCTCCAGATGCTTGACAATGCCCCGAAGGCTGTTGCCATGGGCTGCGATCAATACCCGTTTCCCCTCCTTGATCTGGGGAACTATTTCTTCGTTCCAAAAGGGCAGCGCTCTGGCAATTGTGTCCTTCAGACTCTCACAGGAGGGTAGCTGATCTTCAGTGAGATCTGCATACCTGCGATCCTGAACAACAGAAAATCCAAGCTCACCAGTTACTAGCAGTTGCATCTGTTCTGCCCATTCATCCCCTAAGGGGTCAAAGCGATGCAGAAAGCTCTCCCCCCAGGGCACAGAATGCAGCTGAGAGTTGGGGAAAGGGGATAATTATTAACCTACCCCTCCCATCACCCACTACTGGGAAGATTAGTAACAGTTCAAAAGAAACATAACTTAGAAAGGAGAAAAAAAAGGTAAGCTACAAGGCTCTTCCCAATTCATTTTATCTTGCAGTTGGCTTAGGAAGGCCCCACGGCTATAGATAGGTTTTATAAAATATGGCAGTGGAAATATAGAAAAGGAGATACTAAATCTTTTAACAAATGAAGGCCATTCCTTGGAGACGGGGGATTACAACTATTTTATCATAAATTATAAATTCAATGGGACTAGGCAAACACTGATAAAAGCTAAAGAGTGAGCCCCAGATTCTAATCCCCTGGTCCTGGGTGGAGGGAGCCAAACCTCGGTCTGTCCATACCTTACTGATGTTGCTGTAGAAGGGATGGTTGGGCTCCATCGGAGGCGGTGGGATATCATAGGAGCGTCTCCAGATCTTTACCTGCGCCTCGCCATGCTTGGCAGCAGTTTCTGCTTTATTAAGGCCGGTCAGACCCCCATAGTGCCGCTCATTGAGGCGCCAAGTCCTCACCACTGGCAGCCACATTTGGTCAATGGCATCCAGTACTGTCCAAAGGGTCCGAATTGCTCTCTTCTGCACTGAGGTGAAGCAGATGTCAAACTCATAGCCAGCATCTGGAAATCATAAGTTCAAAGTGATAAGCTAATCACTGGAGTCAGAATTTTCTTACATATAAATCTGTACAGGTAGTCCAAATGAAAGTTACTTGGCTAAATATTTAATTTTGTATATTGGCTAAATATTTAATTTTGTATATGCTAGCAGGAAAAATAATATTCTGCCTTCAGGGAAGATAAAATTCGTTGTGTTACAGTTGACAACATTCCTCCCAGTGGTTCCCCAATAATGCATTGAACCCAAGTCCTAAATGTCCTGTCAACTAGCTAACCTGCAATCTGTGCTGCTTATCCTAATCCCCAGAATGCTGTGCATAATTAAGCACATTTTAAGAATTTATTTTTGCTACAATTCTTTCAAGAAAAGGATCCCAAAAACTTGGAATCTCTTAATAAATAACAATAGCTAGTATTTATAGAGGGCTTACCATCTGTCAGGCACTGGACTAAGTACCTTGTATGTTTTACTTAGCCTTCTTAACAATCCCATGAGGTTACAATTCTTACAATGTATCTGGTAAGGTGAGAAAAAATAAAGACTAGAGGAGTTAAGCAAATTATGCAAGGTCACAGCTATTACCTCAGAGAGGTTAAAACCCAGGCTGTGTGACTCCAAAGTCTAACTCATAGCCCTCAACTCTAACTACCTCTGTATTTTCCTAAACCTAAGGATCCTGATGTTTGTACTTTAGTTAGAACTGGCACTTTTGATTGATAATTACTAATATATTTCATTCTTCTCTAACCTCTGGTATAGGAGAAATGGGATTTGAACTCCCAACAATCAGGACACAGCAAGAGCTCCTAGGGAATGCTGACAAAACTTCCATTTATTGTGTGAAACTATATTTTCACTATTGAGTGTGGAAGTCACATCACAATCTCTTCATTGATTAGTTCCTCTCTGCTGTAGTCAAAGTGCCAGCCTATTCCTGAGTACCCTGATTGGAATATGAAAGAAAAAAAAAAAGATATATATAGATATATATCTATATATATAGATATATAGATATATAGATATATATTAACTGTTAAGCCAAGTTTAGGAGAAGCCACTCACTGGAGAGAGCCCATGCTGTGTGCATTGTCTGAATTGTCTGATTCCTTTTATAAATGACTCTCTCCTCCACAGTAGTTACTGACTGGTAGTCAGGAGTTATGTTGGCCTAACCAGT